ATCTCCTCTTTCATAGAGAGGAATCATTAAAGATGAAGACAGAGAGATAGCCTTGTTGATACAGCAATCAGAGCAAGAATATCAGGAGAAGACGGGTGAGGCTCCTTCTCCTCCCCCTCAGTTGATTCTAGAGGATAATGGGGAACACAATTGAAGGAATTTGGAGGAGACACTCAAAGAACAATAGCAACTAAGTTAGCTAGAATGTTTAGATTTTAGTATCGACAGCATAGCAGAACTAATGTAAACTCTTTTTTGTGAATGTATAACATCTAAAATAACAAAAATGTGTCAAAGTTTTGGGAGGATAGGGCTATTAACTTTGACTTACAGTCTACTTTTTTGCCTTATTTAGTCATTATAGGATAATAGGAGTAGTACATATGGGACAGCATAGCAGAACTAATGTAAACTCTTCTTTGTACATGCATAATATCTAAAAAAACGAGAATGTGTCAAAAATTTTGGGAGGATAGGGCCATATCAACTTTGACTTTTAGTCTTAGTCATTACTAAATTATTTCAAAATAATACTGAAGTAGGGCTATAGGAGTAGCTAGTGCATATGTGTCATCAATGCAGGTAGTTGGTCCAGGTTGGATACTCCAAGAAGGAATACTTTTTGAACAGGATTATAAGTAATAATTATGACTAGCACACTGGATATAAAGGATTTATCTTGCATAATATGCTAAAACTAAAAGACATCACGAGAGAGAACTGAAGGAGAGTGGGTGATGAGAGATAAAGAAGCTTGCTACTATTCTATTAATAATAATAATATAAACTGGTCTCTTTTATACCTATACAAGGACTGAGACACACTTCTTGTCTAAAAACATGCAAATTAAAGAACTTGCCATAGCAATAGTGCAGCTTAATATCATTACTGTGATCATGTGTAACAATTGCAATCATGTGCATATGTAACCATGACAATGACTTGTACACTACAATTTTGAGCATCATAAAATGAACAAATTAAAATCAGGTTTAGTGCTAACTTGTCACTTTCATTTCTATATATATATATATGAGTTCAGTAGTAAGATGTTACCAGGCAAATTTATAATACAAATACTTATGACTATCATCCATATCACAATCACTAATTGCACTGCCATATAGCCACCCACACTGGATACTGGCATGTATGTGCTGAATGCTGGTCTCAAGCTTTCCAGCTCAGTTTTTAACTGATGAAAAACAAAAGAAAGCATTAAGAGTAGCTGCAAGAAGGAATAAATAAGCTCCGGATTCGTTGTATGAGCATATACCACATCACTGGATCTGGGTGTTTAATTCATTAAAGTTCTATATAGATCTAATAACAGTAAAAAAAATTAATAGTAAATTACACTATGAAAACAATTAGGAGCCGATGAACTGTGATTTGACGATGAAATTCCATCCAGTGGGTGTGACACTGGGATGGGTCTATAGTGTGATGTCTATATAAATAACAGTTGCATTCGATTTCTGCTAGTAGTGTAGTCGTGCAAAATGGAACCTATAGTTGCAGCCAAACTAGTTCTTGGAGTTGGATCCTCACTTGTAGGACTTGTAAGATTGCTTAATAAACTTTATTCAACAATAGAACAAATGCGCCGTGATAGTAGGGCCGCAGAAGAGTTATGTCAAGCAATTGAGTGTGTCATGAGTTTATTAAATAAATACAAAAATCATCCTGATGCTGGTTTTGCCAAGAAAATGGAAAGAATAGTCGTGGAGAGTTATAGCAAGCTGGAGTGGTATACAGCCTTGTGTATGATGATATTTAAGCAGGGGCGGATCAAAAAATTTATCAAAGCATTCAATAATAAAAATTCCAAGGTTCTCAAAGAGCTTTATGATAATCTTAAAGAAGTTTATCAAGAAATTAATACATATGCCACACTTGCCATTTCCACCCAACGAATAAAATTTTCCGATGATCAAAAAATAATTTTCCAAAATCCTGGAATTTACTCTGCACAATCTGAGTGTCAACTTCAATTGCCTAGTAAAGTTGATACACCTGACGTATCTATCGAAGGTCCTCAAATTCATGTCAAAGTGAATGATAGCAGAAATAATGGAGATGAATTGATTGAATACCACATCAGTATAAACAAGCAGTGTATACTTCTTTTAACAGAGGGTAACGTTGCCATCATAGAACCAGCGAGAGTGAATCCTCCCCTTAAACCAGGAGAAAGCTACTCATTTCAAGTTCGTGCAAGGAATGCAAAAGGTCTTGGAGAATGGAGTGAGTCAACCGACATATGTTTAGATACAGGCGTTCTTGGTAAACCAGATAAACCAGTTATTGTTTCTGAGACTGGCACTGATGTTGTTAAGGTAGGGGTCAACATTCCAAAAACGTATGTAAATCATGTAACTCATGTGCTGTGCCAGTATCATGATAAGGAAAATGGAGGTAACTGGATATCTGAAAGTTTTCAGATACCTGAAAACCCAGATGCTTATGTTCATGAATTCACCCTAACAGAATGTTCTCCATATGCACACCATCGTCTCCGTGTTGTCTTCATTAATAAATTTGGAGAGGGTGAGCCTAGTGAAACAATAGATGTTGCTCCTGCAGTTTCAGGAGCACCAGCAGAAGTGAGATATACCTACGATGATGAGTCAAACACAATAGAGTTGAGTTGGGAACCACCAAAGCAGGGTCCTCAGTTTGTACACCAGTACCTGATAAGATACAAGAAAGAAAACGCTACTGCTGAAGATACTTTTTTAATAATCAAAGAGGATAAAAACAAAATATTCTCAAAAGTGCCAGAGCTTAAGTCAAATACGCCTTATATTTTCTTTGTGTCAGCTTTGAATGAATGTGGTCTAAGTGGACCAGTCTCTATCCTTAAAGTAATAACAAGTACTCAAGGGTTCAAGAAAGCATTTGTGATGTCAACTCTTCAGTAATGAAAAAGAAGACTATGCT